GAGCTGTTGAGACCAGCAGAGCGGTTATTAGATTCGTCCCTAACACTTATTAAGTTTGAGCCTGTCGCTGAGATGTTCATGCTATTCCTCTATGTATCTGTGGACATGTCAGCCACACTGTGGCATATCCAATTATCCTGTCACCTACCCGATAAGGTGATCTCAAATAGTTGCTTTTATTTCTTGGAAAAAAAAAAAAAAAAAAAAGGAAAGGAGAAATGCAGCAACAAAGGGATTCTGCATTTGAGATGCCATTCGGAGAACAGATGCACACTCTGTCTCCTTCAGGAGAGCACAGGCACGTGTATGTAAGTGTGCCTGCATACTAACACCAGTGTGGGCAGATAACATTGCATCCCACCCTTCTGCCCTTTCCATCGACATTTCCTCTTAGGTTCCACAGAGAGCTTTGCAGACAAAGAAGAAACAGATATACCTGTGGCTCTTTCAGCGTCCATTTTTTCCCTCCTGTGGTGCTGTTGAGAACTTGCCTCCAAAACATGTGCCCAAGTGGGCCATAATACTTGTCTCTGTGCAGTGTTTGCTGCATGCTCCCCTGCTCCCCAGACTCAAGGTCCTTACCACCTGCAGAGGTGAGGACAGGGAAGTGCACGCAGCTTGTGCTCTGCTGACCTGTGTCTCGGTGACCCAAGCTTTCCAGCTTGCACAAGAAATGCCTGGGGCTTGATTGCAAAAGGCATTTCATTTCTAACAGGCAGGTGAATTTGGTATTTAACTTCCAGTGAGATCTAACTAGCCAGCCTAAATGCTTTTACAGCCCTCACTGTGTGCCTATCTGTATCTTTAGGTAGAGAGATACGGGGGGAAATGTGGCTTTTAATAGCTCATGAGTCAGAGCGAGGCATGTCTGCACTGAGGGCGAGCAGCTGAACTGTTGCAGGGTGTGGATGGACCCAGGGATTGCTGAAGGCTCCCACGCCATGAACCATCCAGCCAGGACCTGGGAGGGCTCAACCTGAGCTAATCTGCTCTCCAGGTACCAGGAGCAACATGCAGTGCAAAGGTTTGCAAGGAGACCAGCCTCAGGAATTTGAATGCTTTGTTTACAAGTATGGTCTCTGTTTGTTTTGTGTGTTCCCTGGGGAAGTCTCAGTTGTTCCCAGAAGTGGGTCAGGGCAGCACATGAGACTGGAGATCTAGTTGGATCAGTGTGTCCCATATAGAAAAGAAAGTAAAAGTGTAGGGATGGGGATGGAGATTGAGATGGGTATAGGGAAGGGGATGGAGGTGGAGATGTGAATGGAGATGGAGATGGGGATGGAGATGGAACACAAAAACATGACAGTGAACATAGCTCGATTTGCAGCTCTGTTGCACTTTCAGCATGACCTGAGCAAAACCCTCAGCCTTAATGCACATACTTTGCCTTTCTCTGCACTGGTGCTGTGAATTCTGCCCTCCCCTGCAAGCGTGTTGCGCATCAAATGAGCTGTCTGTAGCAAACAAGCCTTACAGAGATATTTGCTATTATTTCTGATTGTGTGGACTCCAGGGTAACTAATTATCATTTTTCCCCTTGATCAAAATAATAGTAGTTATCACAAAGATACTTCAGGGTTTAAGACAGATTCGAACTCTTTTAACAGCATTTATTTCTGAAGAACCTTCATCTTTACTCTCTTTCATGACAGCTGGTTTTTGAGTCATGAGCTGGTTGCAATTATTTTGCCTCTGTAATTCCATCTTCCTCACACTCTTCCTGGCTTCAGAGCCACTGGAGGATGGTCACCTGTGTGGAGTCGTGCATGAAAATCGGATCCCAGCTGCAGGCAAGGGTAGGAGGAAGTGAATGTGGAATATTTCAATTTAAAGTGTGTTTATTGTGCATTCTGTCTCTGATTTGATGTAAAAAAATTTGCATGCAAATGACAGCAGATTTGCATCTCTCCTTTCATTGACTGCAGATGTTGAAAAAAATATATATTTGAGGGCCTTTTTTTTTCAGCTTTCAAAACATCTTAGAGGAGATTTTGGCGGCTGCCCTATTAACGCATCCATGTAAATCTGCTGACCTCTCCTGAAAGCAGCGAGCTGATGTCAGGGTGTTTACACAGAGGTGCTCACTGCAGCTCTCTGCAGGCTTTGCCTTTCCCAGATTTCCAGCATCTTTTGGGAAACATGCACTGCTGACAACCTTGGACACGGAACCACATCTCTTACAAAAGTACGTTTTACATGGAAACATGTAGGAGAGTTTTTCTGATCACCACGAGGATGTTCGTTGCATTTTATAAGTTGGAGGTGGAAGAAAATGACAAGCAAGGCTCTAAGCAGCAAGGAGGCATCCAGAGATCCATCATCTTCCATCAGGCGCAGCGGGCACCAAGATCAGGGCAACCTTGGGCAACAGGGCACTGAAATTACTTTCCCTTCCCTTAAACTAGCCTGGCTGTTGAACCCATGGGACAACCAGCACCACAGGATGCCTGGGGGAGGTCATCCCTGCAGTGCTCCTCGTGCAGACCATCCTGAGCAATGGCTGCATTCCCAGGTTTGATACAGAGAACAAATGCCTTTTCTTCACTCTGGACAATCTGCTTGTCAGAGGAGTGCTGCATATTTACATACAGGCTGCATGCAGCAAATGGCCCTTCATTGAGTGCCTCTGCAGGAAGAACTCCTGCTGCAAATTTGCAGCCCCAGCAGTGTGAGTGATTGAGTGGGCACAAAGTGGGTCCTGAAAAACCTCTCAAGCAGCACTTGATTCTGATTTCCTCTGCTGATCTCCTGAGTTGAAAGTTTAGCTTCTCTTTTGGCTTGATGTGTTCCAGTTACGTGTGCTTCAGCCGTCAATGCAGGAATGAAGGACTTTCTTTTTCCTCAATGAGTTTTTTTGACTAAGGGATCTGGAAAAATCACCGAAGAGAACAAAACAAAACCAAAAAAAACCTGGAACATGTTGCCCAAGGAGGCTGTGGATGCCCCATCCCTGCAGGCATTCAAGGCCAGGCTGGATGTGGCTCTGGGCAGCCTGGTCTGCTGGTTGGCACATAGCAGGGGGTTGGAACCAGATGAGCACTGTGGTCCTTTGCAACCCAGGCCATTCTATGATTCTATGATTCAATAAACCAGCCACCAAACATAAACAGGAACAAGGCTGTTATGAACCAAGCTCTGCTGGGGCTGCTGCAACGCTACAAAAACTGGCAAAATAGTGCCTCTTCTGAGGCTGCTGGCTTCAAGTGAGATGCTATCTGTGCAGAGATTTTGTTAACATCAGCTCTGTATCTGTCTTGAACAAAGAGATATAAATAGATTTACACCTTTCTCTCTACGGATATGATCTTATATATAGGTGTGAGTGCACGTTAAGTGTATGCACGCGTGTGAGTATAAAATATGTACATCTAGACAGAGCCATCCATCTACCGAGTGATGGGCCTATCTCGTGCTCATTCTAGTAAGGGTTTAAAAGGAATTGCCTAAATACATAATACATGCTCAGATTTTTCTTTTTAAGAGATGAGTCAAGTCAAATGCTATGATATAAATTTTTAATACCCCTATGACCTGATTTTTTTTTCCCTCTTGTGCAAGGAAGTTAACAATATGAAATGTCTTTCTGTTGTCTCTAATCATGGGCCGATTTGATAAGCTGTAATTATTATTCATATTTGAGATCTGCAGCTAGGGAGATGCAGGAGGTGTGGGGCCATGGAAATGTTTAGCTTTGTTATTATTTATTGCTGCTATGAATAAAAGAATAACTATTAGAGAGATTCTGCCAAGTAGTTTGGGCTGCAAATTTAACTGGCTTAAAAACTGTTGCAATCCATTTGCATCTTATATATTCTGGAATACTCTTTAATCACGTTTTTTGGTTCCTTACTCTATCACAGAGGTTGTAAAACTGGAAGAAATGAGAGGAATCATTTTTGTAGGCCCTATCAAAATGCATCATGTTTGTTGTTTGACCTTGGGCACTCTGTCTCCTTAGGAACACTGGAAGAAGACTGCAAGGAGTAGTCATATCACAGCTGCAGTTGTGGTTGTTACTATTCATCATCTTGCTAGACACAGCACTCAGTTTGTGCTGAGCAGAGAGAGCTGTGATCCCCGTTATTATCAATGCCCACTGCTTTACGAGTGCCTCAGCAAAGGTGGGGGTAAGCGGGAAACAGCAAACAGCATCTTCAAGAGTTATATGTGCTCAGTGTTGATTTCAGCACTGAAAAATCTATGTGTTACGGTGATTTCTTTCAGGTCTGGAACCAACGTGACACCAACCAAGGGACAGAAACAGCTGTTTTTTTAAGTGTTTTTCAAGTGATGTAAGTGCTTTGGTCTGCTCCATGTAAAGTCTTTCAAATCCGTGGGTGCATGGGTGCAAAGATATTGCTTATTTGTTCCTCTTACCCTCCTGGAGTCACAGCCAGAATTACCTTCAGTTATTATTCTATCCTGTCTCTGTAAGTATAGACTGTTCTTGGAAGAAAAACAAATACATTTGAGTACCTTCCTTTACAAAAAATGTGGGTGTCAGTTCCAGGAAAAATGCTCACTTAGAACTCATTGTTGTAGGAGACTTAGCCACATGATGGCTAGAAACACCAAAAGGAAGAGCCCTGCAATGAGAGGCCATGGCTTGAAAAATACATGGTCAGTTTCAGTCCTGAAATGCCCTGTAGAAGGAAGAACATCAGCATAATGTTTGCAAGCAGTAGCCTGCTGTGTTTCCTGATGGTTTGAAGTGGAAAAAACTCCCGAGCAAATGCCTTCTTCAGGCACTCTGGTATCCAGTCTCTACCCAAAGATCCATTAGTTGACGGAAATGTTGAAGATGACTGTAGCGGAAATGCTAAGTCACAGCTTGAAGCAGTGACGGAGCACCTGGTGGGAAGGCAGGGCTAACTCATGGGAGCTCAGCTGCATGCAATGCACCTGAGTGATTGGAAGGGCTGGAGCCACGATCCACCCCTTCCCAGACCTCATTTAAGGGTTGGCAGCAAAGGTGGTGGCATCTCTTGCTGGAGGTTCCTGCTTGTCTGAGGCCTTCTGAAGGTAAGCAGCTCTTTTCTTTTATTTCTGCTTCCATGGCTGCTGTGCTTGCATTTATCCTTGCTTGCTGCAGCCTGGGACTCTGCTACCCTGCTGTCACTGCTGTGTTTTCCATCACTTTATAGCATTACAATGGCAATGCTATGCTGAGACGACCAGTGAGCTTTTAAGAAGCTTAAGATTATTTAAGAACAATTCATTAGGGGAATTTGGAAAAAGCTATATAGTTTCAGTGCGTTTCTTTATTCTATTTCCTGAAGTTGGATCTTCTCTGTGATGTAGTCAGAGGCAATGAATTCATCTCAGAATGTAAGATATACAGATGCCTTCCAAAGAACTCTTGATGTTGTGGCTTTGCATCCCTCTGTTCATTGAAGAAGATCTTCACTTTAAGGTTGTCCACAACGGTGTGATTTCCAACAATTTCTGTGTCCTGGATCACTTTTTTTTTTTCCAGTGAGGTCTCTGCTAGGCTTCGCATCTGCTGGCTTTCTAACCCTTGTATGTTTACTACCCACCTTCACGTGGCACAGCCTCAATAAGTCTTCTGTCCTTTCTTTTGCCACTGCAGAAGTTTGAAGATGTGAGATGCAGCATATGCCATTTTTCCTTCTTGGAGATGAACAAAGTATATTGTTATGCTCAAAATGCAAAGCCTTTTCCCCCATTAAATGTTTTCTAACTGCGTAGACCAACCATCTGTTTCTCTTTCTCTTTTCCATCATTCAATTCTTTGCACGTTATTCAAATTAATTATCAATTAAGAACTGGAAGGACTGGATAATCAAATTATGGAAGGGTAAGATGGTCAAGGTACCTTATTAAGAGCCTCAAGGTATTTATTAAGACAATAAATTCCTGGTCTTTCGCTTTAGAGATGAACCTTCAGCTCAGTAAGTAAAAGCAGAGTGACATGTATCTCTTCTTGGTCATTTATTTATGAACATAGGAAATTACATTGACTAACTCCCATTCCAGACTTCAGATTGTAATCTTCTCCTCTCAGATGTCAAACTAACCCAGATAACAGTACAGCTTGAGTCTCAAGACATTCCCTGGAGAGATAAGAGAGTTTTTTTATTTCTTGTGCTGAAGTGAAGCTGGTTTATAAGGCATGAAATTAGCTGTCCTTTAATTCTATGGTTATCCTGGAAAGGAGAGGGAGTCTGTATTTGGGGTGAAGGCTGAGCAGTGCTGGCTGCTGTGCCCTTGGGCAGCTGCAGGTTTATGCAGTTTGGACCACGTTTCAGCATCCTTCTGTTGAGCAGTGCTCAGAGAGGGGAATTTATGAGGCTTGGCAGCATGGTTGGCATGTGGAGAGCGCCTGGGGAAGACGAGGATAGAGGAGAGCTGATTGTGCCCTGTGTGATACCTGAGAGATTCTGGCTCTGATCATCAGCACAGTCTGATGTGTCTAAACCTTTTCTGGAGTAGTCCCTCTGGCTTTTTGACCTCTTATTTTATGTGTAAACACATTATGTGTTTACAAAGGTAGCAGCTCATCCTCAGGAAAGAAGGCAGAGATGAACCAAAATTCAGGGCTGGAAGAGATGACGTGGAGCCCCAAGGGATGAAGATCACCTATCCCACTCCCGGTGACCAGGTTGCCACTGGGGTTTATTTGATTGCTTTCATTTTAAACTGGAGTTTTACTGATGGGTCTGAAAACCGGCTTTGAGACTGTGCCAAAAGCACAGATGCCCTGTAAGTCCCCTGCCCTCTGGGGAAGTGTCTTTGAGGGGCTGGAGCTTCTATCAGTTGGGACCCTCGGGTCTCCTGCAGCCAAGAATATCATTGGGTAGTTAACACAAATGGCTGTCACCATTTTGTGCAGTTCTGATGAAAACTCATTTGCTTTGATATCATTCCATCCTTTTTTTTTCCCCCTTCTCTTCCATTACCCCCATCCCCTGCAAAGCAAAACTCATCAGAGCCCTGTAGCCATCACAGCCTGCAAAGCGTCCTCTTCACATTTCTCCTAACGCAATTGCACATAATTAAGCAGTACATTTACATGTCAGACTAAGCCCACTGTCCAAGCTGCTCGTTCTGCTTTGTGCAGCGCTGTGCCAGGCATCCTCCAGAAAGGATGCAAATCATGGCACAGAAGACATATTACAAGTGGCATACAAGATCTGTGCCCACTTTGCCCATTGTGTCAAGAAAACAGAAATGCTTGTCAAAATACCAGCTCGAGTAGGAGCTCGCAGCTTCTGAAGGAATAAAAGAACCATGTTGGCAAGCACAGGACTAGACAGGCAGATGTCCTCCTCTCCACCCACTAGAATTTTATTGGCAATTGAGTTAAAAACCTCTTTGCATATGAAAGTAACGGAGAGGCGCTGCTGTGGCCTTGCTGGCAGGAGACTTGGCTGCAAAACCAGTGAGACATTTGACAAGGAAGCAATATGTTAGCAACGTCTCTTCATCCGTGTTATCAGGGCCAAATTGCCACGGCACTTGCAGCCATGTGGAGGCATTAGATGCAAAGTGTTAGACGCCCTGCCATTCTTCCTCATCATTTTCTCCTTTCTCTCTTTTCCTTTTTCAGCGCAGCCTGGTCCTGACACTTCTTTTCAACTGTCTCTGGAGCCAGTCCTGCCTTGTACTGCTGTGTGTCCTTAGAAAATAAGTTGCCAGGTGCTGAACACCCACAGTTTGGAGTGATCACTCATGGTAATACATGGTTCTGTTTGTTTTTTTTTTTTCTTCTACATTTTTCTATAGAAGCAATTGCACGTTCATGCTTTTCTTTCAGAGGTCACGGTTCCCACTGGATGAATGAGAGGAATACAGGCTGGAAAAGTCTTTCCTTCCATTGAATCCTTACAGCAGAACTTATAACCCAATTTAGTTTTCTCCATAGTCTTTAGATTTGCATGGTCCCCTGAATATCTGCAGTGGAAAGCTGAATTCCCTGCAGCAGACTCAATAACCTTGCAGTGCCAAGCTATGGGTGTCTGCAAATTGCCGCGTATTCAAACGTGCCTGTGGATCCCCAGAAGAAAGGTGCTGTAGAGCAATGCACAGCAGTCTGAATGAGCAGGGGAGTGTAGCTATGTCAGCAGTCTATGGGTTGGTTTTGGGCACCTGTGTATATGAAGTCTGCAGCCAAACTGCTGTTCTTATCAGGTTGGAGGGAAGGATGAGGAATGCTCTAGGAAACCTGCCCCATCTCTCAACCAGCCATCACACCCTCCCAGAAAAACAAGCCTAATGATGCAGCAAGACAGAGTTTCTCCTCATTCCCTCCTTCCTATTCTCTTCTAAGGATCATTGGGTTTAATAAGAAGTTGCAAGCTGCTGGAATCACATTTTGCTGTCCGTACAGCTTGGAGATGAACAACTCTTTGATTAAGCATCAAAATATTATGGAAAATTTCTATATGGAACCAAAAGAATGAATCTGTGGCAAGAAAGCTGGAGGGCATCCTGCCACCTCTGCAAAGTGCTCCTGACCCTGGCGCATGGACAGCACAAGCTACACTAACTGTGCACAGGGCAGTGTTGAGGCAATGTATGATAAGGCTCCTTGTGAAGGTGAACAATCTCTTCTGAATGAAACTCCAGTTTGTGCAAGAGGTGCATCTCATGCCCACCCTGAGCTTTGGAGCTCATCTTCCCTCGTGGCCAGCAGTGAGTTTGCATGCCATGGCAAGCAAGGCCCTTGGCACAACTGCAGTGTGTAAGCTGGAGATGCACACTTTTGCTCAGGTTGGCACAGATTGCTCTCCTTGCAAGTTTTCCCAGCTTGCCTGCCTGCCCCGGGTGGTACAGACACATCTTCCTGCCTCCCTCTGCTCCCTGGCCCCTCTCTGGCTTGTTGAGTCATTGCTCCAGTCTTGAGTGAGTTCTAGGCAATTTCTAGGATGAGAAAGCAAGCTCTTCTCATTGCCTCAGGTGAGATTAAACATCACATTTTGCTATGATACTGGGGACAGATTGGCTGGTTGAGAGTGCCATGGAATTAGTTTTACCATAATTATCAAATCCCACCTGGCAATTTCTTTCTGTTTCTCCCTGTTCCTCTGGTCATCTCTTCTGAATATGGACTGGTTGCTTCTTGCCCCTATGTCCCCAGCCCAGACACAGCAATCTCTTCATGTTGACTGAAGGTGTTGAAGTTGGTGCATCACCCTGCTTCCTGAGCTGTGGTGCACCTAAATATCAGCTGTTTGTTGTGTGCTGAATTGTATGCATACAAAATGTGCAACCCTTGGGCAAGGTCTAGGGTCAGAGCCCTTTGGTTCCTCCTTGGTTTGGGGAAAGAAGCCCCAAGAGCCCGCTGGGCTCTGAGTTCAGCAGCAAGCCACAGGCAGTGCCACAGCAGGTCAGGCCCATGGCTGGCACCTGGATCACATGGCTGCAGCTGTGTTCAAGAAAACTTTATAGCAGGCTCATGGCTTTCTTTGAGTGCGTTTCCAAACACAGTCCTGCCAGCCAGAAATTCCTGGTTGCACCATCTGGATTCTGTGAAGGGAAAGAAACAAGGGTTGCCCTTTGAGATGTGGCAAGAGGAAGGAAAGAAGCTCTGGCAAGGGTCCCACCTTTCTGAGGTTGTCAGTGAAGGAGTTCCCAAATGCTTCTGCCATTCCACTGAGCTTCTCCAAGTACCTGGGCAGTGCTGCCAGGTGAGTCTTGCTTTGCTGCATACATGGATCCAATGGATTCTTATATCCTGCGCAGCGTGTTGCAAGGGAAAATGCCTGCTGAATGTTATAACCAGAGATGTTGTTTCTTGAGCTGTTGGTGAAGCTGTACCACTGTATTGCAGAGCTGTTGTATCTATCACTGCAAACACGCATCCTGTGCATTTTTCCAGGGTAAGGAGTGCAACCACAGTTTCATGTTTTTATTTTCCAATTCTATGCAGTAATCAACAGAATAGTTACATTTCTGTTGTCGTGTTTCTCCTACGTTGTCAGGAACATTTCCAGCCTGGGATCCAGGAACAGAGCACCTGAGATGTGCAGCCCAATTTTCTTTCTGTTTCAGCCATATAAATTGCAGACACGACCTGAAATATCACCTCATCCCTCGGCAAATGGGCACCAAGTCGCTCAATTCTTACTCTGCTCAATAGGTTACTCTGCTCTCAAAACAAGGCAGGAAAGGGGTGGTCAGAGGTGTTACCCCTGCTCTGTGTGTTTTTGCCTCAGGCTGGAAGGGAAAATATTATCTACTTCAAACCTTCAGATGAACGTGGAGGAACAGGACCAGAATCAGTTGCAGCAGATAGGGCTTTCCCAGGTATGTGCAGTATGGGAAGGTCCAAAAGGTGTCATCTGGCTTGGGGTATGTTTAAAGATAGGAGAAAGGGGCTCAGAATGACTGAGGAATTTCATGTGAAACACAGCAGTGAGAAAATCTCTTTCAACTGTGCTGGGGGATTTTGTGGTGGAGACTAATGAGGGGGAACATTCACTGCTCATACTTTCCCCTGTAGATGCAATCCTTAGAGAGGACTGTGCGAGTCTTCTGTGTGATTTTTAGTCAGTAAAACATCTGTTAGAGCCTGGTGATGCTTCCTCCTGGTGCAGGTCTATGGTAGAAGCTGGAGTTCCCACAGATTCAGCTCCCAGTACATTTGTACAAGATGAATCCACGTGGTTGTGCAGATAACCCTGAACATACTGTGATGTGATGGTGAAAAGGAAGCTCTTTGCCCAGGCCTACCCTGTCATGTGCAGGATCTGTGGGAGGATGTGCTTGTGAGGACCTCATCCAGATACTGTTAATGATAAGAATGGAAAAATGAGTCTCATCTCCACAGGATCTGACCCACAGGGTTGTGCCAAGTCTCCAGATGCTGACTGCTTAACAGGCTTTTGGGTACCAGACTTTGGCTTTGGAGATGCTTTAGTGCAAGAAGGTGCCTTCCCTGCATCCCAGTGGTTTGGAGAGGCTGTTATTCCAACGAGGCATAGCTTTTCCACCAAGGTGCTTGAGTAGAAATGCTGGGAAGGAAACCAGGAATGCCAAGAGATCTCTTGGAGTTAAGTTGGCTGTAGGATATGAAGCACATGTCTCTGGCCACTCTGGTTGTTATTGCAATTCACTGCCATGCTGCTCTTCACAGTACAGAGCATGTAGTGAAACACAAGTGTATTAGAAAGTTTGCAGTTGATTTTTTTCCATGCCCAGTTAAGTTCTAACCAAGCATGGGAACCTTATTTTCCACTTTCCAGTCCAAAAGTCCCACCCATCATAAAGCTATGCATATCCCCATCCCAATGGCCTGTGTTCAGCTGGAGCATCCCATCAGCATCTGGAGGAAAGCAGCTGTTAAAGCCCTCGGTGTAGAAATGTTCAATCATAACATCAGGAACGTGTGTGAATTAATAAAAGTGAACAGTAAATCCTTGCCATTTTCTGGAGGAAAAAAAAGGCCCCTGTCATGGAAAGCCATGCTTTCCATAGGCATTTTTGTATTTTTTTGTGCTTGACAGTTTATTTGTGGTATCAAAGGCTCAAGTCTCTCCTGATAATTTCTTCTGTCCAGGGAATAAGCATCTGTTCTTTCTGATTGTGGGTCACTTTTCTCATGCGAAGCTTGATTAAGACTTGCATGTCAAGGTCAGAAATGAGGATGAACTTTTATTTTTCATCTAAAAAATAAAAACAAGAAGCTGTAAAAGAGAGAATAACATAGATTTGTAGTGGGGATGTGTAGTGTGCTTTTGTTGTGAGTGTTTATGATGTAGAGAAGAGTCAACTGTAGCGTTCTAATGCATTAATTGCTCGTTAGTCACTAGGTTTATGCATTTTTGCCAGGAAAGAATGGAGATATTTGGATGAAAAGTGGTTTATTAGGAACAGCAGGAAGACTAGATGTTTAGAAAGGGGAGGGTGAACGCGATGTGGTTGAAGCATTAAAATAGAGAGTTCCAGCTAAAATAAAGTGTGCAGTTATCAATGGGGCCCTGAGATGGTTGTTGGTCAAAACCAGTTTTGCACAAACATTAGCTGCTTTTGGAGTTCTTGGTCTTGGAGGTGACATGGCTGCAAAGTGCCATGGCTTTCAGGTTGGTACAACCCAGGAGTGTGCTGGATTGCTCATCTGCTGCTTGCAAGGCTGTGAAAAGAACTGTCTTTGGAAGGAAAAAAGGCATTTCTGAAATACTTACCATATTTAAAAGGCACTTCTTATTTTCTTTCTGTAAAAGGGTGTATGTCTCTGATGGCCTCCAAAGAGAGTATGGGCTGAACTCCATCCTCTTTCGTCTGTGTCCTGGAGGTGTTCTCAGCCCTGCTTCCTCCACCTCTGCACCTGATGTCCTTGCCAAGCACGTTAGGAAGAAGCTCCAGCATACACCTCAAAGGTAGGTAGCTGCAAACGCTGCTGATGAGCTGCCTCGGTGCTTCCCTTCTGCTCCTGCCTAAGATGTGAAGATCATTCCCCCCCATCAGTCGCACTGAGGTCCCAGAAGAGGATCTCCCCAGGTCCCTCCCGTACTGATGAGCTGCTCCAGCAGCACATATGGTTTGTCCCCATGTATCTCCCTAACCCTAGGATCTGCAGTAGCTAAGTGAGATACGGTCTGCCTATCTGAGAGATCCAGCAGAAACAACCTAGCCTGTGGGAATCGGTGTTCTGCTGCTACCCCAGTGCACTTCATCAGCTGATGATCGAGCTTTGCTTTGCATACATATGAAAAGTTAACTTGAGCCAGTTTGCTTGCCTTCCACACTGAGCTCACCCTGGCCAGCAGTGAGCTCAGAGCCAGATGATGTGCTGCATACACACAGGCTGCCTGCACCAGGGGCTGTAGCAATGGTCAGCAGGCAGCATCCCAGCTGCTGCTGCTGCTGGTGGGGTGCTGCAAGGCTGAGAAAGGAGAAAACTCCTTGCTGGGCTGTGTGAATTCAGCTGTGGGTCAGCGTCCAGCCGGGAAGCGGGCAGTGCCCTCAAACAGCCAGCATGGATTAATTATTGAATAGATGGCTGTGGGTACCTCAGCCACAGTTGATACCATGCATTTTTAATCACTGCAACACGTGTTGCCACGCAGTGGGGCAGGTCACCCTGCCAGGAGATGCTGCTCTGCATCTCCAGCCTCCTGTGGCTGTCAGGGTCATCCTGGGGAGCAGAAGGGACCCAGGTGAGTGCCTCTGTTCATCCCAGGGGTCGTATCTCCTGCCTCTGTGATCTCCCTCTGACCTTTGCTTTTACAGACAGGGAAGATGATCCTATTGATCTTATGTGGATTATGATGTTCTGCACATTGCCCTGAAACCTGCTAATTGCACATGCGGCTATTCATAGTGTCTCAGAATGGGAGTCAGAGATTTCTGATGGTGAGGCAGATTATCTGCAGACATGTCCATGGAGCTGAAGGGCATCGTTTGGGCATGAGCAGGAGCTGCTTGTGGCACTTGTGCATTTTCCTTGAGGTGACAGTATGGAACATTTCAAAGTGGACATTTTCTGTCCCGTTCAGATGGAGCAGGCCTCCCAGAGAAGATATAGATGTCCCATCCCTGGAGATATCCAGAGCCAGGTTGGATGGGGCCCTGGGCAGCATAAGCTTGTGGGGGCAAGCGGCCCATGGCAGGGGAGTTGGGACTGAGTGGGCTCTGAGATCCCCTCCAACCCAACCATGCTATGATTCTATGATTTTATGATTCTATGGCTCTTCTATTCTATGACTCTTTGAGCAGTGGAGTTCAGTGGAGAGATAACTGAATGTAGTCAAGTGTTTGTACTGCAGTCCTGGTCAAACTGGTTATACAGTGTTAGTACAACTTGACTGACAATCTCTGTTGGCTCCTCTCAGCATTTTTTTTTTTTTAATGTAGGTACTAAACACTAAACCAACCAGCTAAAAGCTCATCTTCTGCTAAACAGTGCATTTGTTCTGCTACACTTGCTCCTTGTATGTCCAGTGTAAGCTCTGTGTGCATCCTTTCCCTTCCCTGAGAAAGGAACTCAGTGTTAGTTGCATTCAGCCACTGAAATCTGGAGTAAAGAGCAATCTTATGTATTATTTTCTTAGCTATTGCTACACAATTTCTGCTGCTTTTCTCTTTGGTCCCAGATGCCTCTGGGTTATTCGTTCCTTTACTGACTTTTCTGTAGATGAAAGGAGAATCACTGGACTGATTTAGGCCATACTTGAACTCTTCAATGCCATTAAATATGGTTGCAGCTGCATCAATCCATTGTCCTGAGTCTAAACTGCTGCTGCAGCTGTAGCACCTTGCAGAATAAGATATTGCCTCATCACAGATGCAGCCCACTGAGTCCCTCAGTGCAAAGGGGGATGTATCTTTTCCATGCCTTGGGTTAAGTGTTCGCTAGCAACAGCCTGGAGCACTCATTCAGAATATTTTAAGAGCATCTTTCATGCTGTCTGAAGCACCTGATGGTTCACAATTACTCCCTAAAGTGGGAGTAATTGACTGCAAGATTATTCTGTACCTCCTGAAAGAAAAGCAAAATGGCTGTGAATGTGACAGGGCCTCACATCTACTCTGTGGTGTTCATTGAGTCTTTTGGTGTAAAGTAGCCCATGCCATGCAGGTGGCACCAGGCAGCACTTCAGCACTGGAACTGTGAGCTGGAAGAAAAGGATCAAAGTCTTTGGAGGCTGGAAGCCTTGGAGATCTGTAAGAGCAGCATTTGTCTTCAGGCAGTGAGTCCTGGAGATGGGTCTTAACAGGAAAAACCTCCTGTGAGAGTACCAGGGGAGTTCCCATGGAC